GAACAGATATGTGATGCCACCACTTCGAAGGTGTTCGATGAGATTGAGAAGTGGGAGATGGAGTGGATGAAGAAGGTGAAGATGGCTGCTGATTGTGCACGAGAACAAGTGCGAGACATTGTTGCTGAGCCGAAGAAGCAACTGAAACGAATCACAGACGAGATTCGATCGAGAATGGCAGAAGAGGACTTTGTGGAGTATGATCTCGATCGATGGATGGATGAGATAAAGCAGCTGACTGTAGATATGAAGGCCATGCCATCGACGATTGTCATCGAAAGTGGTGATGAATGTGAGTGGAATGGATCGGATTATGCTATAGGAGTATCTGATATGAATTTGCTCTACCATGGTGAAGACAGACTGTGTTTGACTGGTCGAACTGCTCACAAGACAAACACAGTTCGGTGGAGCGGAGGTAGTGTCCGGAATATCTGTTGGTCATCGTTTCTTGACAGGTTTCTGATATTGACGAAGAGAACTCTTCATTCATTGAATCTCCAAACAAGAAAAGTGACAGAACAAGTGTCATACAAGAACAGAGCAGACTTTTTCAGATGTACTTGTTCAAATCAGACATTGTTGGTGAGTTTTGATGAAGAAGTTTTGAAGAATTAATTCTCTTTGAATTTAGTGGCTGTTACAGGTTAAGTGAACAAACAGATTTAGCATTGAAATATGCATTAGTTACATACAAATCTCTGTTGACCACCATTCCACAAAATACAACAAATATATTCAGGTGTTTAGACAAGTTAGGCGACATTTACACATTTAGAAACAAATACGATCTCACATTAGAAAATTATGAAAAAGTGGTTAAATATGCTGACCCTGACTTGGATAGAATAGTCCGTTTCCATATGAGATTTGGATTCGTTTACCATCTACAAGGTAGGTATCAGTGTTCATTCAAATATTTGCAACATTCATTAGATATAATGAATGAATTTTCTTCACAGTTTGAATGCCTGGGTAGGATAGATGAATTACATCAAGTGATTGGAGAAATAGTCTGTCATATGAAAAATTTTTCAATGGCCGTTAAACATTTAAAAAATGCGTTATAGATTCAAAAAAAAAAATTATCCAAAAAATCATCCAGTACTTCAGCGAACATACTTTCTTCTGTGTTTTGCTTATGCTCAGGTTGGTAATTATAGTATGGCTATAGAGTTTAGAGAAAAAGTATTAAAATTTGTACCTGATAAGAAATCAAATAATCCTGTACTGATATATAAAACTCGAGCAAATACTGTAATTGGTTGGTGTTATATACACATGCTCCAGTTTGATACAGCAATTAATTATTTAAAACAATGAAATTGAGCAAAAATGTTTCACAACAAGAAACAATAGAAACTACAGAAGTAAATGAAAGCATAGGATATTCTTTTATACAAAAATATCAAGATAATTTGGCATATGAATATTATTATAAAGCATTAGAAATCTACAATAAATATCTATTGATGGATGTACAAAATATAAAAATGAAAACAGAAAATATATTGTCAACTCTCCATCGAATTAGAGAAGAATCTTTTTTACTAATTGAAAAATTAAAAATAACATTATTAAAATTAAAAACAGATAAATCAGATAAAGATAAATGTCTAAAATATCTTATAGGTATGTATTCTAGGGAAGAATAGGGAATTTCAATTTAACTATTTAGTATCTACAAAAAGCAATCAACAAGTGTTTAAAATATCCAACAATAGTACAAGAAGATGTTTTATGTTTCTTCTACAAACACATGGACCTATTTATATCTAATCAGTGACGATTATGACTTAGCTGTTAAATATTATAAAAAAATTACTAAAGTGCAAATTTCTATTAATCCGAATGATAAAATAATATTAACAAAATTATATATTCTTATTATTCATTGTTATGCAAGAACTGAACAGAACGATATTATTGTTGAACAAATTAATGAAGCATTGAATAATGATATAGATGTAACATTATTTGAAAATATAGATACGTCTTATCTGTTTAAAATTATTGTAAAAGATTATTTTAAAAAGTATGATTATCAATTAGCTACAGAATATTTTATTAAAACTTTGACATTAAAAGAGAATGCAATTTCAGATAATGAATTTGAAATTTCTTATTTATATTTTCAGACTGGTGAATGTTTTCGAAAATTAAAAAATTATAGTCTAGTGATTGAATATTTTAAAAAAGCTTTAAAAGTATACGAAACAGTAATACCAAACAATAAAACAATATATTATCTTTTACATACTGGCGTCGGGGACTGTTATAGTACAATAAAAGATTATTATATGACTATTAAACATTATACACAAGGTTTCATTATTCAAATCAAAATAATACCGTATAACAGAAATGACATAATAAATTTATGAATTAGAATTTGATAATTTTGTATGATGACAAAATTACAAAAAAAATCATCTTCTATATGATGAAGTGATATGTTGGTATACAGACATAATAGATGATTCCTACTCGTCTACATTGAATATTACTAATGCAGATGTGAGCATGATGAATAGGATTTTAGCATATATTTGGTATATAAGAAATGATCATGATAAATCACTGTTATATTGTTCAAAATCATTAAATATATTAGAAAAGATTTCAATGTATAATGGTAGATTTATTGTCGATAACTATGAAATACTTGGACATATTTATTTTGAAAATAATGAAAAAGCACTTGCATATAATTGTTATTTAAAAGCATTAAAAGAACTGAAGAAGAATTTCTTAATTAATCCACTTGATTATAATATGAAACGTCTTCAAAAATTAATAAAAAGTGTAAACTATGGTACCTGTATAGATCCGCGTATCTACAAGTTTGTGTCATCGACAGAGCTATATGTATATTCTTCCATGAAAATAAAAATACGAAAAACTCATCGTAATTTTCTCCGAGTAACAATTCCTGTAGATACCAGAAGTCAATATGGTATAGATTTTTTAATTGATTTTTGCACAAACTATTGATTATTTAGACATAAAGTTGAAGCTAACGAGAGAACATTCTCAGATGATTAAAAGTTTTTGATTGTATATTTTCATGATCGATAGGGTTAATGATTAATAGAACAAGAACATTTTACACCATATATTCTACATATGTTTATGCTTTTTTGCGTCGAAAGCAATTTATTTGAAACTCTTTTTATTTTCATACATGTCTTCAGATCATTATCCAATTTATTCCACTCAGTTATGAAACGTGGAAAAGTAGATAACTCGAAATTCTTTGAGCATTGAGTTTGTTAGATGTTTGCGAATGTAGAGCGTGATGGAAATTTGTATTTTTTATTAGCCTGTTTTGTAAATGTTCAGGTGTTAATCAAGCAATATTTTAAACCCTTGTAATAAAACATTGTTCAAAAAACTCTTTCCATGTCTGACCATCCTAAACAGGTTAAAATCTCACCTTTATCCGTTAGATATTTACATCCGGAAACTAGGCATGCGCATTTATACTGAAGAGAGAAGATAGAACTGAGATAAGTTTTATGTGTTGAAGAATAAATTACAGATTCGTAGATTATGATCGGGAATACAAAGGCTTTATATATTGGAACACCTCCCAACATTTCAATGAAGTATTGGCAGCAAGTTTTGGGGCTTGTTTAATCTTGGCTTCTTTGTTATCAAGTTACAGTTTTTCATCGACTCATCGATGACATAAAATTGTTGATCTCTTCGTGACACAACATTTCCGCAAACGACATTAGCGCGAATTTTTTCGAGTATACATTTGGATGTTTTAGGCAATACGTGGTGGGCGGTGAGGGTGTGAGCATTGTGAGAGTGAGTTCGAAAAGTAGTTTCATACAGAACATATTTTTTTGATGTCGCATGAATTTTCTTGAGCTTTTCAAGTGCTTATCTGATATCTAACTAGTCGAAGATAAAGCTGTAATAAAAGTTTAATAACGAGTAGATTCACCATTAACACCAATTGTTTCGTTAGTTTTTTCAAGTTTAGTTTCTTTAAAATCTATTTTCAAAATTTTGTGGAAGAGTCGTGGCGGATCTGTTGTCGTGGTAATGTGGGTTCGCGGAAAGGCCGACGTATCCTCTCGCACTGTCCACACCTCACCTCTCGCCACACACTGGAAAAATACCCTTCCTAGAGAAAGTTATTCAAAAAATGGCCAAGGCTCTTGTATTTTGGAACGGATAGTAGATTCCTCATCTGCGGTGTTGTAATGATGTATTCGAGCTTTTTTCGAATGATGATTAGGGACGTTTGAAATGATAAATTTTATCATCTTCCTCAACACTCTCAATGTATTTGTTATATAGATCAACATTAAATAATTTAGCATAGTTAATTATTTTTCGAAGTTCTGGAATTTTGTTTCGACTGGATTCGCAGTTAACCAAATTAAATCGATGACTGCAAATTGCGATAGCGATGACAAAATACGTTGTACACCATCTTTTTCTAACTTATATGGTGTGTGTCAGACGAAGGTAAGCATTTGTTTATTTAAATTCTTTTCTTTTCTTCACTCATAGTTCGAAAATAATTTCCTAAAAGAAACACTTCAGATTTCTTTTTATACTAGAAATAATAGAAAAGTAAATATGAACTACTGTTTGCCTTCTCTTATTTTCTGAGATATAAAATCGTTTAATGTTTTACCCAAAATTCATGAAAAAAATAAAACTGTTGGTTCAGGAACGGATTTTTCTAAAGCTTTTGCATTAGTAAACACAGCAATTGAAACTCAAATAACAATAAAAAGGTTACAACGTTAGTTCATTCAATTATCTTTCTAAGCGATGGTGAAGCGGCCTATCCCGGCAGAGATTCAGACGTTTTGAGCAGTCAACATGGTCAAAGTAAGAACTTTAAAACAGTTGCAACTCCACCTAATAAGCCAATAATGGTGGCAATCATGTAGATTAAATCAGCTTGTTTTTGATATGTATAAGTACATTCAATTGGTTGACATGTAGAATAATATTGATCATAGAATATTTGATCATTCCATTGTTCAATCATTAATGGTTGAACAATTTCACTGATCGTTGTGATCACTTTGTACTGACTTTCTAAAGATGAATTCATTATGGTTGCATTAAACGGATATACTGATATGTTATATAAATATGTACTGATTGTATTCAAACAAGATTGATTAAAAAAACATTCAAGAGTGGATAAAAGTAATGACTCTGTAATATCGTAACCATGATAAAAGCATAGATATTGTAAGACAAAGAATAAATAATCGAGTAGCATAATACTCATTGGTTAATTCATACATAGTTTTCTTTTCTGGATTTTTGAAGATGTTAAAAGTACGAATTTCATCTTTGATACGAGACCACAGTAGACGAATACGATCTTGGAATAGATTTCGTGGTTCTAAAAGGAAATGTAATAAGAGCCATAGCTTTTCCAAATTGCACTGGCTCAATAATTTGTTCAGATCATTTAGTACAAATCCGCCTGCCCCGAAAACGTTTTTTAGATCCGCCACTGATGTTTGTTAAAATCTGATAAAATAAAGATTGTATAAGATGTTCCGAAAGGGTACTAGGCTTAATATACCTTGTGTTTAGTTTATTTTACAACCGCTTTGTAGTTACTATTTCTTGTTCTTATCGAACAAAGAACGATAACTTTCACACGACGAGAACGAAGCACGATATCATTGTATAATGCACATGCGAATAGTCACATATTTTGTGATATCATGCTTCGTTCTCGTCGTGTGAAAGATATCGTTCTTTGTTCGATAAGAACAAAGAATAGTAACACCCTCATACGGTGTGATGGAGGTGTGTTGCTTGTCGTGCCTTAACTCTGTCTTATATAATAATAGATTAAAATTGTTATGCATTATAATGCATGAAAACATAAAAAACTACCTTAAACGTATGAAAAAATAGGACATTATACTTTCTAAATCATGCTTCAAACACGCTTGGAGTCGCAAATTGGAGCACATTATAATGCATTATTAAGCGTTAACACGCAATAATGCGGATAATACGTACTTTTGCGTAAAAAATGTCCGCAATCCACCATGTAATATATCGTTTTCCATTGTTGTAATCTCAGACAACACAGTGACAATATAATTTTTTCTATATTTCGTTTTAACATGCAGCGCTTTTCTGTATATTTTCTTGACCAGATGTAAATGACTAAAATGAGCGTAGATGCTTAATCAATGTATATTTTGTGCATATCTACTTTTACATGCATGTGTTATGGCTAGACCTAGAATTTGACCAGTCCAAACTGGAATTCTAACACTGACTGGCCAAAAGCAGAATTCCACTTCTGATCAGGTCAAAATGGAATTTGCAGTTGTGGATGATGATGTCTTTAATGCATTCGTTTCACGAAAAATAGCTTATCTGTAGATACAGTAGACACCATGTGACTTACTTCTTTTCAAATTATGCTTCTGAAAAGAATTTTGAAGAATTTGAAAAGAAGTAAGTCACATGCTGTCTACTGTACTAAATAAAACAGCGCAATAATAAGCGCTGCATGTTAAAACGAAATATAGAAAAAATTGTATTGTCACCGAACAACAATGCAATTTTGCTGCGTTGATGTTATCTCATTTTTCCATAATACGGATGTTATATGTAAATAATAAAACAGCGCAATAATCAACAATGCATGAAGAAGAGACAGTAATAGCACAGGCTTGTTGATCAGTCAAAAACAGATGCGCAGCAGACTGGCGACCGACACGCTCCAGGTATGTTACCGACAAACAAGGTATGTTAAATCATACATAATTGTGAAGCTCGACTTGAATCATTATGTTAAGTTAATTTTACAACCGCTTTGTGGTTACTAGAGACTCAGACAGAGTTCATTTCTGAACGAGTTAAAAGAAAATACCACGACCCGTTTCGACTTTTCTCATGGGTCTGATCAGGTGGTTTCCTTCGTGAAAGACAGAGTTAAGGCACGACAAGCAACACAACTCCATCACACCGTATGAGGGTGTTACTATTTCTTGTTCTTATCGAACAAAGAACGATAACTTTCACACGACGAGAACGAAGCATGATATCACAAAATATGTGAATATTCGCATGTGCATTGTACAGTGATATCGTGCTTCGTTCTCGTTGTGTGAAAGTTATCGTTCTTTGTTCGATAAGAACAAGAAATAGTAACACCCTCATACGGTGTGATGGAGTTGTGTTGCTTGTCGTACCTTAACTGTGTCTTTCTCGAAGGAAACCACCTGACCAGACCCTTGAGAAAAGTCGAAACGGGTCGTGGTATTTTCTTTTAAATCTCCCAGAAATGAACTCTGTCTGAATCTCTAGTAACTACAAAGCGGTTGTAAAATAAACTAAACACAAGGTATATTAAGCCTAGTACCCTTTC